CAGATAATGTCCTATACTCACGAGGGGTATACGGTAATGGAAGCTATATGGTTTGTGCATGCAAACTCCTTATATAGTATGCTTTGGCACAACTGGGCGTCTACGGTGGCTATTCCTGCTGGCCTCCAAACCTTTACAAAACTTGCAGGACCTCTATCCAGGCCATTCCAATACTAGAGATCAATGTCTAGGGCAGAATCAATGCTTTAATGAAAAGTAAACAAAATATCGATCATGCAAGCAAATTGATTTTTTTCTAAAGGGGAAGGGGCGGCGGGGGTCGTGAACAAGACACAGGTCTGGGGTTTTGGTGGAATTGGTGGCAGTGGATGGTATGAGGTGGGTCAGATTATGGTGGATCTTATTATGGGGGATCACATCGTGGTGGATCATATAATGGTGGATCACATTACGATGTATCTTATCACGGTGGATCATATCATGGTGGACCTCAAAATGTCACATCGTATGGTGATGAATGCAACCATACTGATTTACTCAACATGAATTATTAATATTTTACTGATACTACCAAGTAATATTAGAAAAAGTACACGCATACACTTACACTCGCATATATATAGGCCTATATATATATATATATATATATATATATATATATATATATATATATATATATATATATATATATATATATATATATATATATATATATATAGGCCTATATATATATATATATATATATATATATATATATATATATATATATATATATATATGTCAATATTTTTCTCTCTATATATAAAATGCGTATGTATATATGAACGTGTATGTTCATTTCTGTCACTCTTTTTACCGAACTCAAAATTCCGTGCTCATTATTGTTATAGAGCTCATGTATCAGTGAGTATCATGCTCACGGATTTAATTTTTTTTTTTAAACCCAACTCTAACCCTCGTTACGCCACCTCCCCTTTGCTTTCTTCTGGTGCAGTTTATACCCACACGCTGCAATCCACCTCCCTTTTTCTTCACGCTCAACTAAGGGGCAGATAACTCCGTGCACAGATACAATCATTGAGCTGCCTGGCCTATATTGTTGAAGTCGAGGGGAAGAAAGAGGATGGGTTTAAAACGGACCCCCAACCCAACCCCCCCCCCCCCTCCCCTTCATCCTCGCCCTCTGATAACAAAAGGTGCCTAACATCAAGGCGATATTCGCCCGACTTCAAAGCTAATTTCCAGGAGTCGGGAGCAGCAAGGGAGTTAATTGGCTCTAAAAGAAATGTTTTGAGGTTTAAATAAGAAAGAGGAGATTTAGTGGGACTATAAATATCATATCAGGCTAGAAGGAAGATTTCTAGCCCCGCAGACAGAAAAAAATGTTTTTAAAAAGATTGAATTTTTTGAAAATAATAATTTATTTTATATGCGTAAACCGGTGCACTTTGTGGTTCTTATCGTACTTTTTTTTCTTAGGAAATGTAAAACAAAGTCGATGTATTACATCGGCGAGTTAAAAGTTAAAAGATAGAATTTATAAACGATGTTTTAGACGTTTTGTATTAGATCTATGTATAAGTAAACCATCTTAAATGAATAATAGCAGGCCACAAGTAAGAAAGAAATACCACTATTGTAAATCTGTATCAGTCCTCACAAGCCGATGATGAAAACTGTAATACTAAAGCGAACACACAACTGACGCTATAAATTACGTGTCTGAGGCAAAAAAAAAAAAAAGTAAATATTCACAAAAAAAAAAAAAAAATGTAAATATTCATTATGTACATTTGCAAAACCTTTCGTTTTCATTTGGTGCTCAAAATTATGTTAAAAAATTTGATGTTGATGTACTTGTTTTTATTGCAAATAAAAGTATTAAAAAAAAAATATAAATAAACGATGTAAAATAGGGTCGTGCATGACAGGATAAGTAAAACAAGAGTTTGTGGCAAAGTAGAATTTTTTTTTAAAAATGGAGTTGGGTGCGTGGTGTACCATGCAAAATGAAATCGGGCGTAAGGAAGTATGCAAGAATAGGGTTAAGCATGTACATGGATATGCAACAAATGGAAAATGCATTGTAAAATTACATCAACACCCACAATGCGTGTATCTGCTAGTATTGAGTATAACCAATATAATAAAGACTATCCCCCTATCATTATTGTTAAGGTTCATTTCAGATCAACCGGCGTAGAACAGCTCTGTGCCCATCAAAAATTGCTCTGGTTTATTTTTAATCAACCGGTGTAGCCACAGTTTTGTGCCCATCAAAAATTGTTCTGGTTTAATTCAAATACATAGACTTACATTAATAAAAAAAAAAGAAAATAACTGCATTCAGTAAAGAATCTATAGATCTACTGTCTAAATATAGTTACAGGATTGGAATTTTAAAAATATATTTTCCATTAATTCTAAACCAAGTTTTAACAAACTCTCTACTCCGGATGCCTTCTTCATCCCTCAAATTACTGTAAATAATGCGGTTAGCCGTTGTTCAGTAACAACGAATCCGATTGGTTGAACTCATCTCCATACCTGCTGAAATCTTCCTGCCTAATGTTGATTCTATAATTTCCGCTTCCGGTTGAATTAAAAACATGAAAGGCGAGAAACACAGGAGCAAATAAAGTTACAGATCTTTAGCGTGGGGTGGGGGAACGGGGCTTTCAATCAGTGATGAAAAATTAATTATGTTTGTTTTTAATTTTGTCTGACACTCCGGATAAAATGTACTCATAAACGTGCGAAAACACTTTGGGGTCGTTCGTAAACAACGTCACACTCGTAGGGCAGAGGGGGTCGGAATTTTGTGACGGTGTGTGACGAGGGGTTGGGGGGGGGGATGTTCCCTCTAAGCTGCGCGGTTGCGCGGCCGCGCTGTAGTTTTGAATCTACCGCGCAGTCATTTTGTAAAATACATATATTATTGTATATAAGAAGACTTTTTAAATCTGTGGTTTTTTATGGATTTATTGTCAGCACTGTGATAGTGCACCTCCATTCCATTAAACTAGAGCCGGGTATTTTTTTAGAGCTGGGTGGACTCACTGAGGTAATTCATAAGCAAAATCTTGTATTTTATCGTTTCTGAAAATTCTCTAAGTCCCGTGTGGTGTTATCAAAATATGTAATTATAAAAATTTGGTTTTTATGTGCGGCCTGGCTGCACTGTTTCCAGTACTGTGGGGACAGCTATACCGTGAAACCAACGCTTACGGTCAAATAATTATTTTTTGTAACCCCAGGAGTCGGGGGAGGGGGGTATGTAGACGGACGGTGTAGCGTCTAGAAAACAGAGGGGGGTACCGTCTGGTATTTGGGGAGTAAGGGAGCAGGATAAGAGGGTTTGAGGCCGGACGGGGTACCGTTTAGAAAACAGACATGGGGAGGGATGGGGGTACGCTCGAAGAATATTTCGCTCTCTGTATTAATGAGGAAGTAGAGGGGCGGGGTGAGTAGAGATGGGGGGGGGGGGGGTGCTAATTGGTTGGAGGAGGAAATATACTCCAGGCACCAATAACGGCGGGAGAGGAGGGGGGGTGTGTTCTCAATAACAAGAATTTCCCTCTTAGTACCACTGGTGGTAGGGGAGGTTGAATCTTCCTCTTTATAAATACGGTGAAAATGGGGTGGGGGGTATGCCCAGCTAACACAATTTATTAACCCAATGTCGTTCCAAGGTTGGCCCAATATCGCTATCTTGGCGATAAATTGGCCAAGGTCCCGCCATGCTTATGCCAGGATACGGCCAAGATTTGTACGTGCTTGCATACCTTTGTTTTGAATAGCTTCCCTTGATACCTTGATATTTAACCGTTTTTACCCTGGCTTGCCAAGATTACAATGATTTATGTATTTACTGCAGCAATTTTGATTTAAATAGGTTTGTTAAACTTAATATATGTTCCATGAAATACGTTAAAAAATCAAATATAATACTTCAGTTTAAAATTAGATTTAACTACAATCTATGTTGCGTGTTTTAAACATTTTGTTTAATATTTTTAAAATTGTGTGCGTGGCTACCCGTCCAGCGTCACGCTGGTCCATCGCATCTCGGCCTAAATTCTATGTCCACATTCCTTTCTATTGTTATCAAGCCAGCATCCCGCTGGTCTTTGCTTGCCATTCTTCGCTCGCCATTTTCCTCAACAACAGAGCCTTTGTTGTATCAAGCCAGCGGCACTAAGACCTCGTCTTTATCATCGCTTAATCTACCGACGTTTGGATTCTGTTAATAATCCTTTCAAGGACTTAAAACCACTTAATCAACAGGTAACATCGTCAATTTTTATTGATAACAGATTATCCGACAACAGGTGAGCTTGTCGCATCAACAGGTATTGCACCAATTATTGACTTTTTTTTCAACAGTGAGGAGAATAATGTACATAAATTCATATTGCGGTGTAGAAAACACTTTCTGTCATTAAATAAGAGGAAGTCTATTTACATAGTTAGGCATTACAGTAACAGTCTAGGTGATTGTTTTAAATAATAAATATGTTTTCAACGAAAGAACCATCTAAAAGTTCTATTTGGAGAGCTACCCGAAAAAGGGTTAGTAATGATTTAGCTGACTGTATAAGGGCAGTACATGACGTTTCTGTCAGAGGCAGGCCCAGGAATTATGATTATGAGTATGATAGGCCTATTGATAAAAGTAGTAATCAGAAGCCTATTCTCAATGAGTTTGACAGTGTAAATTATTCATCAACACCAGTCACAGTAACTGGTCACCAAGCATGTTATTCAGAAGTTAGAAACGAAGCTCACCATCAACAGACTGGCGCTGAGCAACACATGTATGATAATACTAGCAATTATGATTATACAGATTTAAATGATATTCTGTCGGATGTAGATTGTGAGACAGATGCAGACTCATCGCCAGAAGACAACTATGAAAATAATTTACAAGAGGAAGTCAGAAAGTGGGCTATTGATTTTCAAATAAAAAATGATGCACTTAGTGCCTTACTGTGCTTATTGTGCACCTACCACCCTTCATTACCAAAGGATTCAAGAACTTTGCTGAAAACTCCTAGAAAAATAAATGTTAAAGCTATTACAGGTGGTGCATACTACCATTTTGGAATTGAAAATTGCTTAACAAAATCGAAACATTTATTTAAATTTCTACATTCTCATCCAAATGAGACTCCAGTTATCCATTTGCAAATTAATTTTGATGGTTTGCCTTTATTTAAATCCTCATGCAGTCAATTTTGGCCAATTCTTGGAAGAATTTGTAAACCATTTGAATCTGATCCATTCCTTATTGGTTTGTATTATGGAGGTAGCAAACCAGTTAGCATTGAAGAATATTTAACGGATTTTGTGAATGAAATGCAAGTACTCGAGAAAGGTGCCACTTCACTCAGATTTGAAGACAACGAAGATTCTATTTTTCCTATTAAACTGTGTATATCTTGTTTTATATGTGATGCTCCAGCGCGGTCTTTTGTTAAGAAAACAAAAGGGCATTCAGGTTACTGGGGCTGTGATAAATGTTGTCAAAAAGGGGAGTGGGCTGAAAAAGTCATCTTTCCTGAAATAAATGCAACATTACGTTCAGATGAAGCTTTCGATTTAATTGAAGATGAAAATCATCAATTTCATGGATTATCTCCCTTGACTAGTTTGTCAGTTGGCATGGTCACTCAGTTTCCTTTAGATTACATGCATTTAGTGTGCTTAGGGGTTACAAGAAGAATTCTTTTACTCTGGCTTAAGAGTCCAGTTTCAAAAGGCCTTAGAATAGGAAATCAAGCTGTCCAGCAGATATCAAACCGTCTACTACTCTTCAAAGAATATATTCCACGTGAATTCTCTAGAAAATGCCGTTCTCTGCATGATATAGAAAGGTGGAAAGCTACAGAGTTTAGGCAGTTTTTGTTATACAGTGGTATAGTTGCATTGAAAGGAAATATAGACAAAGTACATTATAGTCATTACCTTTTATTCTTTGTTGGTATTTATTGCCTTACTAGTCCTACTTTATGTTACAGTCATGTTGATTATGCACATGAACTGTTGTGTATGTTTGTAGAAGAAGCTAAAGAACTTTATGGTAAAGAATTTCTGGTTTATAATGTGCATGGGCTCACACATTTGGCAGCAGATGTTAAGAATTTTGGACCACTAGATTCTTTCAGTGCTTTTCCATTCGAAAATTTTTTGGGTATGTTGAAGAAACTTGTTCGTAAACCACAGACACCATTAGAACAAGTTGTCAAGAGGTTATCGGAAAGAGCAGTCTCAGATAAAGGATTATTTTCATCTCAAGATTTTGTAACTGACAAGCCTTATCCTTTTCCAAAAAAAAAACATTGTCTTGGGCCATTGCCAAATGGAGTTAGATGTGATCAATTTGCTCAAATTAATTTTAAAGGTATCTTTTTTTCCATAGATAATGGAGACAACTGTGTTAAAATTGAAGACACTTTCTTTTTGCTTAGAAACATTCTCATTATGGATTTGTCTTCTGAACCAGTACTTGTTGTTGAGCGATTTCTAACATGTTATGATTTTTTTCAATATCCATTATTGTCCTCAAAATTGAGCATTTTTGAGGTGTCAAATCTTTCAGGTAAATTAGAGACATTCAATGTATCAAAAATTGAACAGAAATGTGTTCTCTTACCATACAAAAAGAGATATGTGCTGCTTCCTCTGAATCACAAAGAACAAAAATATTAGAATTTGTTTTATCTAATCCATTTAAGGCTTTAATTTTTATGTAAATACTGTGTATTCATATTTGTTGCAATTAGTATAGTTTATGTATTTAAGTCTGTATTAAAGTTAAAGAATGTACCACCTTCTGGAAACTGTTGAGGACAATGTAAGGATGGTGATGGTGGTGCCAGATGTGTGGCTGCTGCCTGGCAAAAACCAATGTTACTGGCCAAGCACACCAACTGCTGGAGATGCATGGGTGCGCAATGCCAAGCAGCCATGTGAGAGCTGGCAGATTTTTACATATGAGAAAATTCTGCACAGCAATGGTAAGAATTAATATATTTTTAAATTACCAACAATTACTTATATTAAAAATTTTAAATATTAAAAGTAACATATACTTATTATAATACAATTATATTATTGTTTTTTAATGTTTTATTATAACATTTAGACATTTTTATCACATTACAGTTTCCTATGAAAAAATAAAATCACTCGAGAGAAAGGCTCTAGATAAGAGTGATGTTGAGAGCTCAGGATCAGAGCCACATCGGCAGTCACGGCCAACAATTAGATGGTATATATTACAATCTCTAATTTAGATCTTGATCTAAATATATAGCCTCATTTAAGTTTGTTATGTTTGTATAAATAATGAAAATAAAAATTTTGCATTAGGAGTCCCAATGATGATTCTGAATCATCAGAATCATCACCTGCCAGGAAGAAGCAGTGCAGAGTCGGGGTGAGGCGGAGGTCAAGGTCACCTATACCTTCCATAAAATATTTGCCACAACTACCTGAAGCTTCCAAAGCTGTTCCAAAACCCCCTGTATCATATGCACAGTTTTCAGCGTCCCCTAGTTTTTCTGGCTGTAAGTGTATTGTATTTTTTAAAAATAAATCATTACTTTGTTAGCATTCTTGCTTTTGTTTGTAAAAAAATTTAGTAAAGATTTGACATAAACTATTTATTTTCTAGTCACCCAGCAAAGTACAGATCAGCTGATGCCATTTTTTAAAAAGATTATGGAAAACAACGCAGAGCTGCTTGAAGAAATCCGGCGCCTGCATAGAAAAGTGGATAGGCTTGAGGCTAAGTTAAATGGTATGGGGGAGGATATGCCAGAAACTATCCAGAGCTTGCCAGAAGGGTACACCTTTCCTTTAGAGACAGTGGAGCAAATGGTCAGCCTGGATAGTTGTCTGAATGACACTGCAGTACAGAAGAGGATGGTAAGCAATGTTATAACAAAATTACTGTTAAATTAGAAACTAGAGTGTATTATATTTCTTTCAATACTTTGTATTAACTGAATACTTTTTGTTCAACAGAGTCTTTACCTCAGCAACTATGGAGGTAAAAATGCTCGACATGGTCTGTTCAGGGTTTTAAAAGAATTAATATGTCCTCAATTGTCGACTCTTTACTCATTTGAAGGCAAAAAAGGAAAACTGAAATTCAATGACCTCCGGAACCTCAAGATGACAATTTTTGGTAAAATGAAAATGGCTTCTTTGCTTCCAATAACTTAAAATTATATAGGCCTATTTGTATATATCTAGAGCTGTCTGCCTATACAGAAAGACAAAGATGAGGTAAATGACAGATATATGGACAGAAGAATTGACAAGGCAAGATGCTGATAAGTTTTACTATTTTTTTTCAGATTCTATACTAAGATCTTTTAAAAATTCTACTATAAAAGAACTGGAAAAGGGGACAAGTGAATGGCTTGCCATGTCTGGTGACCGTGCAGGGGGGAGAAAAAGAAGAGAGGGCCCCAACAAACAGCTACATAATCATAAAGAGGCTGAGTGATTATTTTAAGCATCAGCCCCCCCCCCCCCCCAATCCCAAGTAAAACAAAATTGCTTACCTTCATTAATGGTATTTTTAAAAAAATCATTTTTTTAATAGAAGTACAAGTTTATTCAAAATAACATAAATGCCTTAGTGATAGTGTTTACTACATTGTAAATCTGTGAAAATGCTGAAATTTTTTAACAAATACTATTACCCCTGTTATTTAAATGTATAAATTAAGTAGGCCTATTTTGTTTGAATGTTATTTTTACTTACCATAGTACATGACAGCTTCTGTATTCTTGTACAGTAAATTAAGTTTTTACATTAGTTTAATTTAAACTGTACTTAACAGCTGTTACATTATATGAACATTTTTGTATATTTGTTTTTAATTTGTTTGTATAAAATTAAAAGTCAACATGAAAGCTACTAGACTACTATTTACATATTCATTTTCTATCAGTACTTTATAATATAGTTATAGTTTTCTTACATTTGAATGAATTGTATAATACATATTTTAATAGATGAACAGTTTTTTGTGAATGTATTGCTGCTTTATTACATTTTGATTAAAGTTTCTTTCACATTTTGAAATTAACTTTGTAAATATTATGACTGATATGAGAATGGAGCTTTTTGTATGTAAAAAATCATAATTTGAGCCTATTTTAGGCCAGGATATAAAAAAAGGTTGAGCCAAGGTACAGCCAAAATATAGCCATTATTGGGCCAAGATATAGCAAATATTGGGCCAAGATGTAGCCAGGATAAAATACACAATGAGCCAAGGTATAGCCAAGATATAGCCATTATTGGGCCAAGATATAGCCATTATTGGGCCAAGATATTGCCATTATTCTGCCAAGATGTAGCCAATATTGGGCCAAGATATAGCCAATATTTGGCCAAGATATAGCCAATGTTGGGCCAATATGTAGCCGGGATATAGCCAATATTGGGCCAAGATATAGCCAATATTTGGCCAAGATCTAGCCAATGTTGGGCCAATATGTAGCCGGGATATAGCCAATATTGTGCCAACATTGCGCCAACATCATGCCGAGTTTCACTACCAATGTTTGGCCAAGGTTAAGCCAATGTTGCACCAAGATGTAGCCAATATTGGTAACCAATGTTTAGCCAATATTGGGCCAATATATGTGTGCTGACTGGGTGGTTCTCAATGGAGGAAGAATTTCGTTCCTCTCATCTGAATACACGAAGACAGTCAGAATGATGAGGTAAAGTTCTCATTGAGGGTCAGGAAGGTCAAGGGTGAGCAGTTGGAAGGTGGAACAGCGAGGGTTGGAAGTGAGGTACATGCTAGGGTGAAAAGTAAGCGGTGAGATAAGGGGAAATAAATGAAGGGGTGGGGGAGGTAAAGGTGAGTGGTGACACAAGGTGAATGGTAGATTAGGTGATTGTGTGGTGAGGTATTTATGATGAGGTAGGCAGTGAGGAACATAATGAATTCTGCTGACGGGATGTATGGGGGTGTATGGTGAGGTATGTAGTTCTGGTGAGATATGGTGAGGTGTGTTGTTCTGGTGAGATACGGTAAGGTATGTAGTTCTGGTGAGATATGGTGAGGTATGTAGTTCTGGTGAGATATGGTGAGGTATGTAGTTCTGGTGAGATATGGTGAGGTGTGTTGTTCTGGTGAGATACGGTGAGGTATGTAGTTCTGGTGAGATATGGTGAGGTATGTAGTTATGGTGAGATATGGTGAGGTATGTAGTTCTGGTGAGATATGGTGAGGTATGTAGTTTTGGTGAGATATGGTGAGGTGTGTTGTTCTGGTGAGATATGGTGAGGTATGTAGTTCTGGTGAGATGTGGCGAGGTATGTAGTTCTGGTGAGATATGGTGAGGTATGTAGTTATGGTGAGATATGGTGAGGTATGTAGTTCTGGTGAGATATGGTGAGGTATGTAGTTTTGGTGAGATATGGTGAGGTATGTAGTTCTGGTGATATATGGTGAGGTATGTAGTTCTGGTGAGATATGGTGAGGCATGTAGTTCTGGTGAGATATGGTGAGGTATGTAGTTCTGGTGAGATATGGTGAGGCATGTAGTTCTGGTGAGATATGGTGAGGCATGTAGTTCTGGTGAGATATGATAAGGTATGTAGTTCTGGTGAGATATAGTGAGGTATAATGTTCTGGTGAGATATGATGAGGTACTTAGTTCTGGTGAGATAATGGTGAGGTATGTAGTTCTGGTGAGATATGGTGAGGTATGTAGCTCTGGTGAGATATGGTGAGGTATGTAGCTCTGGTGAGTTGTGGTGAGGTAGTGCTGGTGAGATATGGTGAGGTATGTAGTTCTGATGAGATATGGTGAGGTATGTAGTTCTTGTGAGATATGGTGAGGTAAGTAGTTCAGGTGAGATATGATGAGGTATGTAGTTCTGGTGAGATATTGTGAGGTATGTAGTTCTGGTGAGATATGGTGAGGTTGCTAGTTCTAGTGAGATATGGTGAGGTATGAAGTTCTGGTGAGATATGGTGAGGTGGAGAAGGCTAACAATGGGGTATGTGAAGGTACAGGTGTACATGAGGTATGTGTACGAAGGTAACAGCTGATGTATATTGAAAGTTAAAGGTCGTACACAAGGATAATAGGTGAGTTATTTAATAAATAATAGAAGGGATGTGATGAGGTAATCGGTGAGTTTAGGTTGCTTGTGAAGAGGTAACAGCTAAGGTAGATGGTGAGGTATTTGATGGTGAGGTAATGAATGATGAGATAGTGCATGGTGAGGTAATGGATGGTGAGATAATGGATGGTGAGATAATGAATGATGAGATAATGGATGGTGAGATAATGAATGATGAGATAATGGATGGTGAGGTTATTCATGATGAGGTTATGCATGATGAGATAATGGATGATGAGGAAATGAATGATGAGATAATGGATAGTGAGATAATGAATGATGAGATAATGGATGGTGAGGTATCATATGGGGAGGTAGCAGATGGTGAGGTAATCGATGGTGAGATAATGTATATTGATATAAAGGATGGTAATATAACATACGTATTCTAAAGTACTAGGTAACATGTACGAAGAAGCCACATCTGAGGTAGATGGTGAGGTAATAGCTGAGGCATGTGACGAGATACACGATTATCTTTTTTTTTTCCACCATACCCCCAGCACTCACATAGCCTACACGTGCGTAGAATGAGATAAATATAGAAAAAGCATGCGCACGGTGTGTGAGGCGAGAAAGATTTGAAGCCGCTAGATGGCACCTGAGTAACAATAAGCCAGGTTTTTGGAGGGAGTTTTGATTACATTGCCGGTTAGTCTGACGTGTGTTTATCCGCCCATTGTCGCGGTAAAAAAAATTTGACAGTAGGACAATTAGGGTTGAGGGTTTCTCGTGCGTTAAATGGGGCTGCGCTTTCTACGCGGAGTGGGCGGTAGGTACAACGATGAGTAGAATACAAAAGGGGTTTAATTGGAATTGGTATCTTCAGGAAAGACGGGAGAGGTGGGAGGGGGGTAAGTTGTTGTCTGGCCAGGAAGGCGGTTTTGTGGGGTTGAAGTCTAGTCGACCGCCACATTAAATGAGCAGGATTAGGGTCTATGACCTGGGGGGTGAGGGGTGGGGGAGTGGAGAGACTGTAGTTATTGTTCGACTCCGTCTTCATGGGGATAAAGAAAGGTACGATAACTTCAGGTCAGGTCATGGGTTATAACACAGGGGAGGGAAGAAGGAAGGGGTGTGTACGTCATGTAAAATCTTAGGGTAGGCTACTCTTTATTCAAAGAAATGACGTTAAGACGCGATTAAGTATTTGTTTGTTTTTTATTTATTTCAGAACATTTTTAGTAATTTCACTCGAACTTTGGGCATACAGTAAACCTGACCTATCCCCCCCCCCCCCCCACCTATGTTTTTATTTAAATTTTTATACTTTTCGGTTAATCATAGGAGACAACCCCTCTACCCTCCAACCGTAATTGAATTCCTGCAACTACTAATAATAAACGTAGCTCTATAATTATTAACACACATGCAATGACACATTTTCCTTTTGCGCTAAAAAGAAACAACCTCGAAACAACTATGAGTGCACTGTAGCAGATACATAGCCCAATAAACCTTTCCTTAATAACCCTCATGTGAAATTCTACCAGTGATTGAAGTATTGTTGATATCGATAACTGGTAACCGAACCTAACCATTTTTCAAACGAGTCGCTTTGGGGGTCGTCCATGGATGACGTCACTCTTGTGAGTGGGGTGGAGGGGGGGGGGGGGAAATTCGTAGTGTGATGAGGGGATGGGGTGGGGCTGTTCAGATAGTGTGACGTCACATTTCTGCGGTTTAAGACAGTAATTTTAGCCATTTTGTTCGCGTCTTAGAAAACTGCTGATGTAAATTGTCAGTCAGTATTTTAGAAAGAAATAGATGTTTAATAGTTTAATAAAAATTGGTAAACTGTAATTTTGAAAGGTGTTGTAGGTTGAGGTGTGACATCATTTTAGGTGGGGGGGGGGGGTAGTATTTTGTGACGATGGGGAAGAGGGAGGTAAACCTCATTGAAAAAAGCGTGACGTCTTTGATGAATGCCCCCCCCCCCACCAAACCTATTCCATACCGTTATAAATATTGTTTTAAAACACAATCTCTATAAGCTCGACTTAAACAAGAGGCACCTCATTTGATCGCGATAGCTCTAGGGTACGGCTAATCAAAAGTACCCCAAAACTATTCCACCCAGCTGTTTACCCGGCCTGTCCGTTCGTCTGTCAGCCCGTCTGCTCATTCGTGTCACGCTCGCGGGCGCCTAGTCAGGTTCCCTCACATAGCTGCTCCCCACAAACTGTTTGGGTGGAAAGAAAGAAAAAAAAACGAGGGAACCCAAGGCAAGGAAAACATTTCACCGTCTGCAATAATATTTGTTCGCAGCGGAGCCTCAAACTTGCGGTATGGGTTCTGATATACCGAGGCGAGAAAATCGTCTGCTTTGTCCAGATTTAGTTTTTGGATGAGGTGAGGC